GAGGGCAGATATCAAACTTTACCCAGAAAGACCACAAATGGAGTTCATCAGTCTTGTCAACACAAACTGTCATGGAATCCTAATAAATATCACTATGAAGCTTCCAGAGTACTGAACTCTATGTGTAGTTAGATTCCCCTTTCAGTCATCATTAGTCCTTTTAGTAGACACTGCAAGTTGCCTACACAGCATTTCTCCATATTCTCCCTTATTCAAAATTATGATTATTTTTAGGGCCATCCCACATCTGTATAAAATACTTGAGTTTTCTCTTCTGCCACTGGGGTGATCAATGAAATATACATACAAGTCCTTGGGCAAAGCAAACCTTCCATAATATAAAGGCAATTTACAATGGAGAGACTCCTGACATTTGTCCCGGTCTCTTCTCATTTCTACCTTGGAGCATTGCAAATTCGGTGCCTTAGCCATGCACCCCACCCCCTCCCCCCATAGAAACTTCAGAGAAGAATCAGAGAAAGGGCTTGAGTCCTGGTAGATACTCCTAAGAAGTAGTGCCAACTTTACACTACATAACTTTGGAAGTCTTGTGTATGTGAGGACAACACAAACCTAAGTCCATAGAAGCCAGTGTTAGCCTTGTTTTCAGGGACTTGCAATCAAATGCATTCCTAACTGATCTAGTCATTGTGTGTGCTCACAAAGTCACCCGGCTTTTGTGGTCAAGGGACTTTGGTTCTGGGTCTGATCCTTTCACAGACCCACAATGAGATGAAATGAAGCAAGGCTGTCCTTTAATACAATCAAGTTGGCAGCAGTGCTGGCGATTTACCTACGTGGTTTTACCAAGCAACAGGATTCTGATTTTGATTGACTCAGGTGTCTTTCCCCTTGTGCCAGGTAGACATCAGCGGGATGGATCATTTGCACAATCTGATATTTTCTTATCCTAATTGTGGCAGGGACTGCCAACGATGCTTCCTCCACACAGAGGGACTTGGGGAATCTCTACAAATGACACTGTCCCCCAAGCCGATGCTCACAGGAGAACAATCAGCATGCAAAATAGCAGCCAGTGAAGCGTGCACATGTTGGTGCACCTAGTTACCTCCAGAATGGGCTGGTGGGCCGCAGAGCAGGACCATCCCCTGACCCTGGCGGACAGACACAGTGCTTCTTGTTCTTGGCTTAAAGTTTTCAAGATCTGTTGAGAGAAATAAAAAAAAAGAGGTTTAAAATTTAGCGCATTATGAGAAGGTAGCATTACTTCAAAAAGAAGGTAAGAGTGTTTACAGCACCCAGATCAGGGAAATTCAACTTAAACTTTTTCTGTGTTATTGTCCCATCCACCTAGATTTTATAGATTTTATAGCTAGACTGTAAGGTAGCCACTTGGCATATGTCCTTATTTAGATAAAAAACAGTTAAAATCAAATACAATTTATAAATCCAGTTCCTTAGTCACACTAGCTGCATCTTAAGTGCTCAAGGGCCGTGCACAGCCACTGGTTTCCACATTGGACAGTGGACAGTGTACTTTCAGTACATCAGTGCTGAAAGTTTCACTGGGTAGTACATGTCTGACTGGAGACACCAAGGCTTAACTGGGCTAATGACCTCCCTAGCTTCTATCTGTAATTAAATATATCATAATCAGGATGCAAATTTGCATTTTCTGATAGTCAGTTGCTACTTCACAAACCATTTCATTGTATGCAGTTATATTTCTTACTCTACGTGTATCTAGAATATGCCTCTCTGTGTCGACACACATATGCACACTACATACAATGTGTAAGTAGATATATATACATATTTACAGTTGCTTTAGTGTTCCTGGGTGTTTTAAAATATTTACAGGGCACTGCCCAAGGTTCTATTTGGAATAAAATTTCCCTTTCTCAAGAAGATCAACTTTGGTTAAAGAGATAAGACATTTCAAACCTAAACAGTTCAGCTAGAGTCAGTAAATACAGTTACCAATAAAAATGAGTTAATATAAGAAATATGTCTAATAAAGTGAGACACTATTGTTAAAAAAATAGTTTTTCTTTCATCTTTTCAAACATAAATCGTCTCAACAACAATTGTTTTAAGTGTTATTTCCTTTCTTTTCTTTTTTTGGTCTAAAACATTTCATGTAGTAACCTGTTTCTGGATTTGAGGATTATTCTAAACCAAGGATGTTCTGTAGGGCTATAAGCCCTGCATCCATGCAGATCAAACTTCAGTCATATTTATTGACTATTTCCTCCATGCAGGCTATTTTGGCAAGCATTTAATGGTGATTACCTCAATAGATCCTAATAATAAGAACATTAGTTAAGTACGATTAATGTTTCCATTTTACAGACCAGAAAAGACAGGCACGGACACTTTTTAAAGGGTAGGTACAACATCAGGAAGTAAAGGAGCTAGGAAGCAAATCTGGATTGCCTTCCTGGAGTTAACAGTGGGATGTTTCCAGGCTTGGTTTTAGGGATTGCTCACAATGTTAAATTAATTTATACACATACATGTCTTAATTACTAGATTCTTCTGGTACTAGGCAAATTTTATGCTCATACATTATTGGTTTTTTATCAGTTAAGCATATAAAAATCTGGTTGCCAGCTAAGGAAGAAGAACGCTATGAGAAGAACGCTCTGTCCTGTGAGGACTCAAGAGTTTAGTGCGCAGGCCTAAGAGATGACATCTAACTGTGGGAACCCAAGGCTGCCGAACTTGAGGTGTTCAGAGGGCTACCTGGAGGACACACACGTACTTAGTGCAAAACAAAACATGACCACAATTTAAGCTACATTTCTTTACCATCTGACCCACTAGGGAAGCCCTAATTTAAGTTATTTCTCATGTAAGAAAATTCTTTTTATTAGGTGAGGCTAGGACATGATTTTTTTTTTCCTTTTCGTTAAAGGAATGGTTTGAGAAGCCTTCAAAATCAAACTACAGACTTAAAAAAAAACCACTTCATTATGGCATTCATATTATAAACCATTATCTCTAAAAATGGCACTGAATCATCTAAATTATTGCTTCTGCATACAGGTTCTTAAAATAAGTCATCTATGTTTTTTCACAGACGTCTTGTCCAATCTCCAGAGTTGCACGAAAACTTAAGAGCTGATGGGTAACAGAGATCAACTCTTATCCAAGCAAAATCCACCTTGATTCTAACTAGAGGAAAAGCATTAAGAAACGGGAGGGAAAGAAAATAAAAAATATAAATGATGATTTTTTTAAACTGTTCTTGAGAAGTGAAAGTTGCTCAGTTGAGTCCAACTCTTTGCATGGACTCTATATAGTCCATGGAATTCTCTAGGCCAGAATACCGGAGTGGGTAGCCTTTTCCTTCTCCAGAGGATCTTCCCACCCCAGGGATTGAACCCAGATCTCCAACACTGAGGGAGATTCTTTAACAGCTGTGCCACAAGGGAAGCCTTTAAATTGTTTTTATTGAGCTTAAAAGGGACTTCCCTTGTAGCTAAAACTGGATTCCTGTTTCTTCATTTATAGTTTATGAATCCATGAAGTTCCACAGGATTTGGACAGTTAGAAAAATCACATTAATATGGTATTTGAGAAAATATTTAGATAAGATTCTAAGCAATTAACTGAAATAGATTTCAGATGGTAAATACAATGAATGGAAAGATTGCATTTGGACTGATCTGAGTTTGAAAATCACCTCTGCCATGTAGTACGCAAGGTTTAACTTTCTCAGAAATAACAGGAGAGTAAATGTGATTTATTTTAGAATAAAAATGATGGGAAAAGATTAAATGAGTATTAATCATATTTGAAAAGCACAAAGCCTTTCATGCTCCAAGTCTGGGGCTTACTATTTATTTGTTCTGTCCACTTCAGAATATTGTAATTCAGTGTCAAATCATACCTCGATTATTCCATTAAGAAAGGGTTTTGGAACAATCCTGGTAGACCAGTGGTTAAGAATCTGCCTGCCAATGTAGGGGACATGGGTTTGATTCTTGGTCCAGGAAGATTCCACATGCCACGGAGCAACAAAACCTAAACACCACAACTACTGAGCCTGTGCTCCAGAGTCCATACTCCACAACAAGAAGCCACTGCAATGAGAAGCTGATGAAACACAAGCCCCTGCTCACCGCAACTGGAGAAAGCTAGGGCACAGCAATGAAGACCCAGCACAGCAAAAAGTAAATACTTAATTTTCTAAAACAGGGTTTTGAATAACAAATGCACTCCAGTGAGAGTTGAAGAGGCTACTCAGAGTCCACCATATTTATGCACATGTTTAAGAAAATGCTGCCGTGCTCGCTTCGGCAGCACATATACTAAAATTGGAAAGATACAGAGAAGATTAGCATGGCCCCTGCGCATGGATGACACGCAAATTCGTGAAGCGTTCCATATTAAAAAAAAAAAAAAGAAAATGCTGCCTGTTCATTATTGCTCTGTTCAGTTATAACTATCCATTTAGATCCTAATTGCTAGCAGCATGACAATTTTCCAAATTAAAGAACTGTGTCTGTGAATATGCAGTTTTTTGAAACTTGGACATGGCCAGGCCTTTCCCAGAAATATTTCCATGTATTTTATCTGAGCGTCATTTTATCTACAAATACTTGGTACTAGATAATGATCAGAGCAACAAGCATTCCAGGTTAGTTAGAATACATTATAATGTTCTATCACCATGACTGCAGCACTAATAGCAACGATTGCATCTCCTTGCAAAAATGTATTGAGGTCATAACATGTGCTAAGAACTTTTCACACAGATATCATTTAATTCCATTATAGATTTAATTCCTAATTTGAAGGTGTTATAACTTTAGTTCAGAGAAGTTCAGAACCTTCTTCACACACTGAGAAAGTGGCCAGAAGAATACAAACTCATCTTCCTCTCTCCAAAGCCATTGCTACCAACTACCAGAATCAATCACTTCCAACTTCCTCTCTGACTGAGTGAAGCCAGTGAGAACGAGCATTCAAACTAGTTACCTGATATCCTAGGGACAAAAAAAAGTTCAATGGAATGAATGAATTTTTGCTCCTCAGGGAGTATGTACAAAAATCCACATTTCAATGCACAACGCAATGAGTTGGTACGTTTGATTTCCAATTTCTATTCCTTTGCTTTGCTTGTGGATGAGCACTTGATGAGGGGATTTTAAACATCAGGTGTAAAGGATGAAGTGGAACAGGAGAAAACAATCAGAAACCACTGCATTAAAAAGTAGGATTGCTACATGGTAAAGGAGGTAGCTGAACCATGACACTTGGGTAATAGACCTTTTAGCTCCGCGCCACTAGTTACTAAAGATACGGTTGAATAAATGATGTATACATATGACAAAGAATTAATATCCATGTACCATGGTTTCTGAAAATAAGAATTTTTCCAGCTGTGAATATGGTTCTTTGACAAGTGACTTATAGACCTTTAAAAAAAATGAAGTGGCCATACATTTAGATATTGATTTCATTCATCACCATTTTATTTAAATTTTTTCCCAGAAATCACAGGCTAAAAAACACATAATTTCATGGCATCTGTGTTTTCCTATCATATTTTTTTTCTGTGAAAACAACTGTCTTTTATTCTCCTGTAGAATATAATATTAGCACTTTATTTTTACATGAGGCTTTAAAAAATATGCTATTATAGTTCTTGAAATGTGTAGCTCATTGATAGCATAGAGGAAGTACTTTAACAGCTAAATTCCTTGAGGAGTAAACATGTACAAAGGTCTCGTAGCTGCAACGTGAGATAAATAATAAAAGCCGTAATATTTGAAAACATTTAGAATTCAGGCTGCAAAGTAAATCAGAGAGTGAGGGGGCAATATCTCCAGATACTTACTGTCTGGAAAGTTATTAAACGTTTAGAGCAGCAGATGAAGTAGTATGTATAAAACAAAAAACACTGGACAGGTCTAAAGAAAACAAAATCAAGGATCCAAGATATTTTTTGAGAAAGAGTAACAATAAATAAGGAAGAGTAACTTTTTAAAGACATCATTAAGGACTGCCTATCATGCACATGAACAGAAAGACTTAAAGCCATCCACAGGGTAGGACCACCCACCGAAGAGCGTAAGTTTAGTTTTAAAATGACCAGGAAAGGTTAATCAGATAGTAACATACAACATGGTTTGTCAAGAATCCACAGAGGAGCAGAAGAAAAGTAAAGTGGAAAAATGGTACAGTGAACCATGT